TTTTTTTTTGTATGCGTTTGGTAGGCGCCCTGGATGGCTTAGATTCACAAATCAGCCTGGCAGATGGCACTGCAGTCAGTATCTAGGTTATATTTCTATTCAGCAAATAAACAGCTGGTATATATAAATCTTCTGTGCATGTGTTCGTAATTAAACTCCTAAACGGCTGGACAGATTTGGCGAATTTTTTGTCTGTTCAATGGAGTCGAGAATGATTTACACTATTAGATATTTTTTTTTATGTAAGACGTGTGTATAGAACAACGTCTGTCGGATCCGCTAGATATTATTAAACTCTAGACTAATCTAGTGATAAGCCCTGAAAATTGTTTGCGTTGAAAATTGAAGAAATTGTACTGAGAACTGTCTTATCTATCAGAACTGTCTATAAAATGCAGTTTTAAGAGATACAATCCGTAGATCATAAATTTTAAATCCGTTAAAGCTTTGTTCCACTTTAATTGTATTATGAGCTGAGCTGATTTCATTTGCATAAAATTTATGAAACGTTGTTGGTCCGTATCAATTCATTACAAAATTATCACAATATCACTAATTAATTAAATAATGTGGAAGAGTTTTATATTCATAATAATAATTTATCGGGCTTATTAATTGTTCAACTAAAATACACTTTCTCATTCGCCCATAAACGTTTTGTCTTAGCTTTGATAGATCTTCTTAAGAAGTCAAGATAAGACAGGCTCTTTGAGGTGCTAGCATAATGCTGCAAGATTTATGCCTTTTACGAAGCTTGTCATGCGTCTTGTTTCTGTTTGTCCCGTAAATGGGGCATGTGACATCTGTTTTGATTGTTATTTTTATCGGCAAGTGTGTGATCTATCTGTTAACAATAAAACCTCTATAAATAAATTTATATATTAAGTAATATCTGGCCATAATGAAATGTTCAGGAATATTTTTACTTGGCAATGACTTCCGTCAGTTCTCAGGGGGAATCGAACTCAGGATTTGGCCTATAATGTTGTCGTACTATCTTGACATTTATAAGGTTAAATGGAAGATGTTTAATTTATTTTACCATTAACACGCAGCACATATCGGGAAGATGTTATGTCAATAGGGTAAGTTGAAATTCCATTTCGTCGCTATAGAATGATAACCTCGTATGTCCAGAGAACCAAACATTACAGGAAACAAAACAAAAAATCATTTCGTCAATTTTTGTTAAAATATTATTATGTGTTTTTGTCCATAGTGGATGGTAAAAAGGACTTATTTATTAATAACATAAATAAGTCCTTACTTCATGATTATACCAGTTAAATGACATAAGAGTCTAAGAATAAAAAATAAATGGTTTTTGACATACGAGGTTATCATCCTACAGTGACGATTTGATATTTCTGGAGTAATCAAAGTAAAACATGTTTTAAATGAACTATAACTTAGTCATAAAGATAAGATTACTTGAATTGTTCCGTACGTATTAAAGTTCGCAAAGTTTAATTGGCAAATGATGTAGCTAAAATTGGGATTGTAATGAGTTAGAGTAATGGCTGAGAGTTATCGAGAATTATGACTTATAAAATGAATGTTATAACATGTACTCTATTTAAAAATTATTAAGTATTTCTGCAGAAATTCAAAACGCACAGACGGTTCGAGCAGAGCATCTATTTACGACCAAATCAACTCCGTTCTTCTCTTGTACATAATGAAGAGTGTCAAGGCCACGTCATCGAACCTGTGGAGGTAAGTGAATTGGAATCTTATTGCATTGGTATAAGGTTCTTATTTAAATGGTTGGTTTTAAAGTTGAAAAGTTACGTTATAAGTTTTGTATGAATTGTAAATCATAGGCTGTGTTTCATTTTTAGAAATGTAACATTGTTTTTATATACGCGAGAAAAAAATAAGTTTAATCCGGAAAAGGGCTTTTCTTTAAAATTTTAAGTTGTATATTTAAAAACGTATGTTGTTTTTATAATTTTATGTTGTCGCTTGCTCTGATTGGTTAAATATAACACCAGCATGCATACATACAAACACTGTACTAAAACTGAAAGATACATGTAAAAAATTATTTGTTTTATATTAATAATAATAATCCGATTTTTGTGTTTGAAACAAGTCGTCCTGTAAGTTTAACGATAACATCGTTAAGAAACCGGCATTTTTAGATCAAATAATCGACAAAGTGTCATACACAGAAGGCGGTTGAAATAAGTAATTGATTTTAAAATAACACAAAAGCTAAATGGAATTTACTTCCGAGATAAAAACATTTTGAAGACAGCATATTTTTCGTTGAAGATTTTTCTATAAATATGATAAACCAAGCGAATAAGACTTCATACAACGTACATTAAATATTCTACAGAACTAAATGCAACTATGTTTTAGCATTTCCATTATGGTATATCTGTAGTCAGTCGTGCCGTCTGTCCTATTACCTGAAGGCTTAGTTGTTATGCAGGGGATCAAGTTAATAAGCACATAGCAAACTATGCGTACAAATTCCCAACAGCCACAAAGCTTCGGAATTATGATATTTAATAAAGCTCTTTATTACATTAGCTTACATTTAAATGAAATAAATAGGCTTTAAGGGGCTTAAACCAGAAAATGTTTTTTCCATTTGATTATTAACATGTGTGCTTATTATTTCCATTATGATCTAAGATCCCGATATACAACGACCTTCACCGAGATGCTTATTTAATGAAACGTATTTTATATTTAATTTAATATGTCAATAAATATAATTCATATGGGTTGCCTATCAAATTTCAGTCCAGAGTATTTTAATTAATATTAAAAAAAAAAAAATACGTTTCATTAAATAAGCATCTCGGTGAAGGTCGTTGTATATCGGGATCTTATACTATTAAGTTAATTAGTATAACTGTTACCTCATTTTTGGCTTTATTAGTTGTTTATGGTGTTTTTTTTATTTGAATTAAGAATACAAGTGAAATATATAACATACTAGCTGCCCCCGCGAACTTCATTTCTCCTTAATGCCTAGCCTATCTTTTTAGTACATACCAACATGGAACATTTTGCTATGCTACCACAGAGACTGTTCGGTTTTCCGGAATGAAATCTTTTAGGTTTTTATGTGATTATGCTCTATAACTCAGAGTTCAAATTATAAGTTCTTAACTAACAAATAAAAAAGACGTGTTGGTCGTAGAGGGTAGATGAACTAAGGGTTGTAAGTATTTTTGTATGCTGTGTCATAAAAAATTAAAAACAAAAAATTTGTCTAAAAAATTTTTTTTTTAAAACCCCTTATCACTTAAGGGTTTGAAAAATAGATAGTAGCCGATTCTCAGACTTATTGAATACGCATAACAAATTCATAAGAATCGTTCGAAAAACGAAAATTGTGACACGAGAATTTTATATGTTAGATTATTATCATTTATTAGGAATTTTATTCATATTAGTCAGAGGCGATCCTTTTATCTATTTTTTTAAACAAACAAAATTACCTTCACTTAAAACATATCTAACATACTATTAGTACGATAGTTGTCAAATTTATACACGTATCTTTTAAAGGTTAGGGCTAACTAAAAATTCTATATTAATTGAATATAAGTAGGTAGCGCTTGCAATTTAAGCCTACGAAATTTTCAGCCCAATACGTTAGCCGTCATGCAAAGCACGAATTTAATTTAACACCAGTCTAGATTTAACGGGTTAATCCCTAGGAACTAGTTGCTGAGCTGCTGAAAATAGCGTGTGCTATGAAAGCGAAAGGGACAACATAAGTTGAAAAACGGGACAAGGGCAATTGAAAGCCTACAAAAATAGACTAAGAACTGTCTCGTTATTTCGCATAAACTTACCTTTGTTTTTCAGCTATTTTTACATGAAGTTTTAGTGTGTCATAAATTGAGTGACCTCATTTTGTTTATTGTTTTCATCTCATTCTTCCTATTACCTCAGCTGGTTTAGTCTTTATAACGGAGGTGCTAGGTTCCAAGTATTTTTTTTATAAGTCTTCATCTAGAGAGACTGGGGCTGCGTGTGCCAAATAACCACACTCGGCGTGGTAAGCGGTCGCAATTGCTGGCAGTGCCTCGGGCGCGTACAAACTTACTCAGGGGAGCACCATTCACACGTGTTTTGCGCACCCTTAACTCTATTGCTTGTGAGACGGATATATTTAGTTGCACACTGGCTGAATTCACAAGAATTGCATTATTTATTATTAGTTATAAAATGGTTTAGGTTTTAAGTTTTTAATTGTTATGTTTTTATTTTGTTTTAAGTTTAGTTTTCTATTGTATTAGTATTAAGTTACTGTAAAAATAGGAAATAAGGAAAATAAACAATTAATAAATCTTGCAATCAGGCAGCTAGACTATGAGCAGATGTGTTGAGAGCTGCTAGGCGTTCAGAGCAAAATCTCCATCGAGACTGCTCCTCTCTTTCAACCGTGTCTATCAAGACTTAGGATTTGTCGCCTTTAAGCCTAATTATTAGGTCCAGTATTGTTAGTTGCGTGGCAAGCTTATTAAGATGCATTTCTAGCCTTTTTCTGTATTTCATACTCCAGGTCTTGATCTCCTCTTTAACAGTCCTGATTTTGAGGTGCTCATGAATCTCCGATGTTTTTATAAACCACGGACAGTTGAATATTTGTTTCAAGATGTAATTTTGTATAGTGTTTCAAGTATAGCAACAATATATATTTTTTTATAGGACTCCTATATAGTAGAATATCAGGCACGCGATAAGTTAGATCAGTGCTGATAGGCTTGGGCTTGTCAAAATTACCTTTCCTTCAAACGGACCTTATTTGCCTAAGCTTAGGTCTGGTGGGTTTGGCGTCTACCACCGGATCCGGGCGACAACTATACCGGAAATATCTTCATGATATTTATGGGGCACTCGGGACCCGCTTTAGCATTTGTGCCATTTATCTCACTGACATTTGACAATTCTATTTAAATATTTTATTATAATCTTTTATTGCTTGATAAACCTTTAGATTGTCTCCTTCTTTTCCCAATTAGGGCAATATGATAACAAATACAAGAAGTCTCAAAAGAAACTTCATATTTAGGTGATTGATTTAAAAAATAGTAAGTTTTTTATTAAAAAAAGTGTTTATTCATTATTAAAGTACACATTTTGGGAATTTATTTCTTAAAAATAATACCGTCCAAATGTACGACGACGCGGCTCTCATTATTCAACCAATAAAATATAATATCGCTTTAATTAATTGATTATTTTCAAATGTAAAGGAATGTATCACGAAAAATATCCAAACCACTTCAAATCCCAAAACTTGAAGAATTTCTAAATTCCTAAAATAGGTATTATGTCATTACTAACACAATTGGCCATTGGAATTATGTTCACAATTTTTATTTGATATAAATGCTTCATTTACATGTTGATAATGCTTTCAGGCAGTTAACAGCATGCTACGAAATCTTAAAGTCAATGGAGGAACTATCGCTTGCGTTTCTGTACCCATTGGTTCTAGAAAGCTTGGAGACCAAGAACTTCTTCCTCCAGCTCCATTTGAAGCTGACCCTGGAATACTTGGAATCTACTAAGCAATATCTGGATTTAGAGGGCTTAGACGCACGTGTGATTGACAAGCTATTGATAAGGTGAGCTGCTTAATATCTAATGCTATTCATAAACTATAAAACAAAAACTACTGAATTTTGTATTATAATATTGTTTTTCTGTATAATAGCATTTCTACGTGTCGAGTCATCCACGGGAGTCGTAATAGTGAAATTAAATTTAGGATTCGAAACAAAATGATTGTAAAACTTTCACAATTAACACTTAAATTATATTTTTTTTATACGTATAAAAGTTTTTTTTTCACATTTACACATTATTCAAGAGATACCGGAATGGTAAGATTTCGGAGATCCAAATGTTCAAAATTCCTAGTAGAAAAATACATTCTGCCTTTAAAGAAGACGAATATTACATTTAATATATTACAAAACATTAATTAGCTCCTTTAAATCCGTGAAGTAATTGAAATACTAACGTATGAACGTAATTTTGTTGTAAATAAACAATTACAAAATACAGAAATTTTACGTTTCATACACTCAAATAATAGCCTTTTTACTATATTTTTCATGTTAGACTCTATTGGAATGAAAGTATAAACAAAATCCTACGTTTGTTGAATTGTATACTAAGTTGGAAAAATCCACACTTTTAATCACCGATAAAAAGATTAAACTCGCAGCAACAGACTTATGAAATAAGAATTGTTTTATCTTTTGTCTCATTGGGTCATGTTATATTTCTCCCACTGTTTCATAGTAACATTAACTTAGCAGTTACGTGTCCAACAATAAGCCCTTAGATCATTTGAACCCCGAATGTAGTCGGATTTTTAGTTCTAAGTCTCCAATAATACAAGCAAAAGAAAAATAACGTGAGGAAACTGGCTTCAACCTTTAAAGCTTAGACTTTAGAATAACAAAGGTTGCTCAGATCCTAGCTAAAGGTTAAAGAAGAAACAAGCAAATAATGTAGTTAGTGATATTGAAAGAGTGTTTCTAGAGAATAATATTTATATAATACTGTACAGTGCAAAAAAATTCGCCCGCCGCCTGTGTTTTGAATCAACGTATAAATGAATTCAAAAACTTGCAAATCAAACTTTACAATCCTCGTTCGAAATTCAATTTAATCAGATTTTTCCAGCTACAAATCAAGAGACGGCTTAAAGTTCGAGGAAGGCTCGGATCGCTACTTTGTTGAGGAAACGATTAGCCACTTGGCTCAGCTGAGGGACGTACAAGAGGATTTGTGGACTTATGTCAGGCAAGGCATTTAAAACATAGTACAGTTATTTTACCTTAGTTGCTTTCGTTAGTTAAGTACGGTATTTATTACCATGGTTACCTTTGTATGTTGAAATCATTTAAATTTAAGGTTTATTATTCTCGGACTTCACCGTTTTTTTTTCGTTTCGCACAAGCAATCGCCCGAGGTAGGACACGGTAACATCGTAGCCTTGTCCGCATCCCTTCTTCCTTTGGTTTATCAAGGGAATGACAGTATTAGTTAACATCAGGCCTCCGGCCTCTTTGCACGCTGTTCTATAACAAAGCCATGGTATCAAAAACAGTACATCATACAAGTTCAGAGAGGCTTTTAAAATTTATTTATATTTATGTACCCATTTTTGAAAACTTGCAAATTTAACTATAACTGTGTCTCTGAGAGACACGTTAAATAACTGCAAAAAATAATATCCTTAATAAACCCATCCATCCTCCAAAAATAAATAGACGTCCATAATGTTACGGGGTTTTATTACCCCAAAACATTCTTATTCTTTATAGTTTCCACAACAAAGGAATGCCGTCAGCCTACACAGGAAAATTGCCCAAACCATAGACTAATTAATTTGGAATCTTAAATAAATCTAATTATATTTTTAGGGCTTCGGTGAATAGTGAAATGTGGTCTGCGAGACGAACACTGTGTTTTGGGATCGTAGTTTTGATACTTGTATTGCTGGTTTCACCACTACTGATACTTTTACTACGGTATACAATTAATACTATTCAGGTAGGTCTAATTGTTTTCATATTTATGACTTAGTTTAGATAGGGAGTTTATATTATAGAGAGTGTTTGTATTTTTATAACGAATAAACACAAAATCTACTGAATCGTTTTCAAAAATTATTTTATCATTAATTTAAATGCTACATAATTCCTGAATATTAAAGAAATATTCTCCAGCCGTGTAAGGCCGGGATAGGCATTTAGTATAACATATATTAATTTATTCACAAAAATACATATACTAACAGTCTACAGTGCTATTTATACTAAGCCAATACGATAATGTCGAAAACAAAACAAATATAATAAAATATTCAATGTTAAAAACATAAGATACACAATATGGCTACTGTGAACTCACTCTACGAACATATAAATATACATATTTGATATGTGTGTGTGTGTACGCCGTTATCTAACGGCCGTAATGTAGCGTTGGGTGACGTCACCCATACGTTGTCTATAAATATCGGAGTAGGTTTCCTAGATAACGTTGAGTGTCACCGTAACGTCAAATAGCGGTGCTGTCATTTGTATGACGGCCGTCATAGCGGTGATAATCATTAGTTCAACGTTTCGTTCCACGTTTCCACTCATTAATACAATGAGTGGAAACGTGACTTGGACGAGCCAAAATGATGTTTTTTTGCATTATGTTAAAAAGTAAAGACGGTCGTTATTAACAACCGTAAAATGACGGCCGTTGGTTAACCACCGCTTTTCTAGGAAACCTAAGCTTCCATAAGCCATAAGATATTAAGTCAACTCACTCATTTTATATGTAGTTTATATTTGATAATCGCTGGTATACTTAATTATAAAATTTCATTATTAACTAGATTTCGACTATGTTTACGTGTTGTTTCCACGAGAATGTAAGTGCGTGCTCCTATTTCACCATGCCTCCTGCTGTTAGAGGACAAATCTTTGTTTTAATTTTTTTTATTATTATTACATTACTTAAGATGTCATGTGGAACATGGTGTAATGGTTGCAGCTGCTTACAAACGTTGTGTAAAACAAAAAACTTGGCGATTAAAAAGAGTGGCGGAGTCTAATGACAGTTCTTCTCTTCCGTTCTATAATCAAGGGTGATTTGAGAACTGGCAGTAAATGTAAAATTAGAAGCATTTAATATGTATTTCTTTTTTTGACGTTCATAAGTGTACATTGTGTAACCCATATGAATAAATGATTTTCATTTGATTTGTTTAAAAATTATTGTATTTTTTGTTCGCGCTCTTTATTTTATACTCTGCCTTGTAATGCGGTGTAATATATTAACCACTGCATGATACATGATTCAGTGGCGTAAAGTTATTATATTACACTGCGCAATCTTTTATGGGACTTGCTTTCTTTCATAAAAAAATGTCTACTGCATAAGTGATGTCTGACACACTTTTTAAATTTTTGCCTCAAAGAGTGTGCTACTTTTCTCACGTTTCATTCCTTTATAAAGGCTCGAACGCCCGACTCGGGGTCGAGAATCGAACGCTTAATGACCAAGCTATGAATTGTTACATTTAAATAACCAAATATCGCTTTACCGTTTCAGAAATTCACGGAGTCAATAGAAATAAGTACACAAAAATTAATAGCTGAAAAGCAGAAGAGTGATTTGCTCTTATCAAGGATGCTGCCTCTCCCAGTATTAAGAAGGCTTCGTGCACAAAGGACCGTGCCCGCGGAATCTTTTGACGCAGTCACTATATACTTCAGTGATATCGTTGGATTCACGAATATATCTGCGAATAGCACGCCTATGGAAGTGATTAATATGCTCAATATGCTTTATAAGTAAGTAGAATATCTCATACAAAGTTATATAGTAGTGTCGAAAAGTAGTGCTCCTACAAAGATGACCATTTTTTTTAGTTACGTCTTCCCAAAACCTTCAGTAAAGCCTTTGCCTTTATGTAATTTAATGATTTTATAAAACATACTAGCTGACCGGGCAAACGTCGTTTTGTCATGTATATCATTTATAATAAAAAAATAGGGGTTGATCGTAGAGGGGTGAAAGTTAGGGGTTGTATGTATTTTTTAATGTTGTATCATAAAAAAATAAAAACAGAAAAAAAAATCTAAAAATTAAAAAAAAATTTGGGGTGGACTACCCTTAACATTTAGGGGGATGAAAAATAGATGTTGTCCGATTCTCATACCCAATGTGCACACAAAATTTCATGAGAATCGGCCGAGCCGTTTCGGAGAAGTTTAACTACAAACACCGCGACACGAGAATTTTATATATTAGATATGGTCTAAGATCCCGCTATACAACGACCTTCACCGAGATGCTTATTTAAAGAAACTTATTTTATATATAATTTAATATGTCAATAAATATAATCCATATGGGTTGCCTAGCAAATTTCAGTCCAGAGTATGTTTAATTAATTTAAAAAAAAATATATTTTTAAACATTTCACCGGTATGATTATTAGATAAATTCTATACCAATCGAACGTATGAAGCCCATAGAATATGCAAACGTTAGGTTGTTTTTAATCAATTAATTATTTATGTGTATATTTTTTATGTGACACTAATGAATATATACATCTTTAGTATAAAAGAAGGTTATAGTGTTACATATATAATACTACCCTGATTAAAAATATTGATTGAAAAAAGTTCAAAAAATTTAGTACATGCAAATTATAAAAAAAATTTTTTTTTTTAAATATTAATTAAACATACTCTGGACTGAAATTTGCTAGGCAACCCATATGGATTATATTTATTGACATATTAAATTAAATATAAAATAAGTTTCATTAAATAAGCATCTCGGTGAAGGTCGTTGTATAGCGGGATCTTATACTAGATATATCCTACGCTCCCTAGTGAGAACTAGAGAGATTATGATATTTGTATTGTAACTGGGAAGTCACATTAAATAAAAAAAAAAATCAGTGGCGCTACAACCTTTTTAGGTCTGAGCCTCAGATTTCTGAATCTGTTATTTGATCATTTAACAATCTAATAGGCAAGTAGGTGATCAGCGTCCAGTGCCTGACACACGCCGTCGACTTTTTAGGTCTGACATGTCGGTTTCCTCACGATATTTTCCTTCACCGTTCGATTGGTGCATAGCCGGGGATCGAACCTACGACCTCAGGGATGAGAGTCGCACGCTGAAGGCTAGCACTGCTCCATAGGGAAGTCACATAACTATAAAAATATAAGAGTTCTTCCTCCAACTTTTTCTTTGGAGTAGAGATTTTTGGGTCGTGGGGCTCAATTGCACAGATGCTAATTAAAAATTTATGTTGACGCGGAGATAGTACCGGTGACCACACTGCTTTCCTCGCTCAACAAATAAGTATCGCAATACAGAGAGGAAATGCCAGCAATAAAGGACTATGTTTTATAATTTATTTTAGTTCTATTTATTAATTTTAATTATTGTTATTAATATGTAAGTTAAGAATATAGTAAATGTTTTTTTATATTGTATATGTATATATTATTATTTGGTAAGGTAATATAATATAGTTGAAAATCACATCATAAGTACTTTATTGTTCTTCTTGACATAATATTGATTACACTACAGTAGGTACATACAATATGAGTAACCTAAAATTTAACCGTAAGGGACGCGGGGCATCGCAAACTTATGTTCACCTAGCTAAGGGTTAACTTAACGACGCTGGGCATAGGTCAAGAAATGCTACTGAAGATCCACGACCTATCGTACTCGCAGACCTATAGCTAGCGAAGGCCACAAGCTTTTTTTCTGAAATGGAATCTCGGTGTAGGCCTTAAGGGCCTTGACTGCTCATCTTAGGCTGTTATGCAAGGCGTCTCCTGCGAGACCCGGACCTCGGCTGCGGAGGTCACGGGGTTGTCAATCGCCTGAAGGGCAGGGCCGAAGCTCACTGGAGGGAACGCAGTACGAAGTACCTTCCCATCCAAATCCGTTAAGACGTTTTGGTGGCTCCGACCCGCCATGTTTCTCGTAACGTGCCACGAGCGTGTCCACGTGGGCGTAGTGTGCTATTGTTTACGTCAATGCGTGTTTGTAGCGTTATTCGTGTGTATTTAGTATACAGGAAATTGTCTTATTTATTTAGAAATACATTGCGGTATGCATTCCTAAAACAATATATATATATATATATAATTGTTTTGTATATTAATACATTTCTGAATTCTTTAACCCTTGACCGTTCGTTTCTTTACTTGAAAAGTTACAGAACCAATTCTAAAGACCCTATGTCCCTATACAACATAGTAACCAAGATAATTTTGGTAAAATAATTGTCTATATAATTTCAGGATGTTCGATGATAAAATAATGCAGTATAATGTTTACAAAGTGGAGACAATAGGAGACGCTTATATGGTTGTATCGGGACTTCCACAGAGGAATGGTAAGTTTTTCCAGCATCATTTTGAGAGCATACAGCACATAGAACTAATTAAGAATAGATAGACAATTTATTCGTTCGATGAACATACATCGCACGTGTCTCTTGGAATAATATTATATAATATCCGCCATTTTAACTCACTAGTTGAATCCATTTAATATATCAATAATCTGTTATAAAATATTAATTTGAGATATCATGGTTATAATTTAATTGATTTTCTATTGAATAAGTATATTCTGCAAATGTAGAAGATAGGGAAATTAAAACGATTCAAGAAAGTGTCTGCAGTAAAAACTTTATATGCTTCTGATCATGCCTATAGAAAAATCGTTTAAGAGTTAATTATATTGTTCCTTAAACAGAGTAGATTTTTATTTTTTTATCCTTTGACGGTTTTATCAACGCGTGGTTGAAGGTTGCCGAAACAGTCACTACGGGTACGGGTCTGGGTCATCAGGGTGCTTTAAATAAGAGAAGATTTTTTTTTATAGAACGGGCGGCAAACGGGCAGGAGGCACACCTGATGTTAAGTGATACCGCCGCCCATAGACACTCTCAATACCAGAGGGCTCGCGAGTGCGTTGCCGGCCTTTTAAGAATTGGTACGCTCTTTTCTTGAAAGACCCTAAGTCGAATTGGTTCGGAAATACTTCAGTGGGCAGCTGGTTCCTCATAGTGGTGGTGCGCGGCAAAAACTGCCTTGAAAAACGCTCAGTTGTGGAACGGCGGACGTCCACACGTTTTACTCTATATTAACCACTCGCGTATAACAATAGAATATGAGCGAAAGAATGAAATGTTAATTGCTATGACAAGAATGAATGCAATTTAACAGTTAATGAGAGTGCCTTCGTCTGGCTATGCTCTCGGTCACAGGAAAGGCAACCACAAAAACAAATGCCGCCGCTGACGCTGAGCGCGGTGGTAATTTTTTCCTGGTAAACCAAATTACTCTAATGACAGTAATCTAACGAATTATTATGAGCGGAAAACGATCTAATTCGGTATTTATTTGTAAATTTGAAAGGTACCTTCACATGCGAGACGAAAATTATGCCTTTATTCGTAGTTACATTTTAACTTCTTTTGAGGAAGATGTGTTCATTTAATTTACACAACGTTCTAGAACAGTGTTTCCCTTTATTGTCCCCTTTAATCTTTCTGAAATCCTTATGTCACATATATAATTTTTAAAATTAAAAAAATTTACTTGATCACTTAAGTAACTTAAATTTGAGGAAGAAATTACTGGGAAATTGTTAACGAAACACAGTAAATAAGTTTAACATAATGAAAAACTGAAATTCAAATTAGAAATAATTTTAATAAATTTTCGAATAGCCCCCCCTGAGGGGCGTAGGCCCCACGTTGGGATTGCCCAACGCTGGTAGCAGCTAGCAGATACGTTGAAAATAATTTGGTTTAACGATTAAGCCATGAATTTAACGAATACAACCTAATGTAAAATTTTTGTTTAAAAATGGACATTCATAAACTTTATTCCTTGCGTTCATAAAATAATTTTATTACAAAATTTGCGATATTAAGTTTACGTTTGTATATAAGATTTTTTATTGTTTATATAGACAAAAAATTGACACGACGATTTTAATTTACACTAGCGAGCACATACAAAGAAAAGTTCATTGATTCAGCCGTGATTCCAGCACACGACTGCACTCAGGGGCTTGGGTCGATGCTGCTTTTTAAAAATGTATTTTGTAATGCACTGAAATGTACGTTATTCGTTAACGTTATGGTAATTGATAATCAGAAAAGCGCTTTACAGCGCTGAATCGACAATGCGAACATCTGAAAGGAGAAAAATAGATGCTCTGGAAATGTGGTGTTAGAGGCGGATGCTTGGACCTGGACAGCTAAGGAAACAACCGTCCATAAACTAAGACGGTTACAGGTTTAAAAAAATCAGCACTTTGTTACCACCGCATCCTGAGTTTTTTTGTTCAGAAAATTTGAAAATCTTATTGTGACTGGCAAAGTGAAGGGCACCAGACTTCGAGGTCGATCCCCAAATCACTGGACCGATCGAGTAAGAGCCCTTACAGGTCTTCCATCACCGAGGCGCAGAGTACACGACCTTCAAGAATCGGAAAAGAAAAAATACGTGATATCGAACAACTTGAACAACAATACTTAGCGCGACCAATTCTTTGAAGATAGAGATTAAGCACGGACCTATTTCGAGACTTTATGATATTTAGGTAATCTAATTAGCATTCGCCTCAAGCCGTTTTCGATAAAGATAGGACTTACTGAAACCCAATTTGGATCAGTCTTTATTTAGCTGAATTTAACTTTTAATTACTAAGTGTGATCTCGTGAAACTTATACATAGTTGAGTTGGGCTTCTTGGTTATGCCGCAAGCGTGTCTTATATCTGTTTTAAACCTATTTCAAAACAGTAAGTGTGGAGTCTAATTGAAATAAATGATTTAAATTGACTTGACTTGAATCTATTTCTAGCGCTGCGTGTTTTATTATAAATAAAATATATTGGATTATACATTATACTAAGTAAATTATTTGGCTAAAAGTATTAATTAATATTGATTTGGTCAGGATACTTGAGAGTGACAGCCGTCGTGGAATTAATTTGTAACCTAATTTTAGAATAAGAGACGTCATTGATTGACGTCGGTTGGTTAATCATTTAAAATAGGTAATTTTATAAATTCTAAACATAATATTACTGGTTTTACCATAATTGTATTGTGAAATGGTTTCCTTGATTGAATTTGTATTACAAAATTAAATTATATGTTTCTGGACAGTAAAAAACGTGAAAAAAATTCTTTGACACTTTTTTACTTATGATTTAAAATATATTCATAAACTGTAAAAAAGGGGTAAATTAAATACAGGGGTTGTTAATTAAATCTGGTTCTCTTTTAGGAAACCTGCATGCGTCAGAAATTGCTGACATGTCTCTATCTCTAATGAGAAGTCTGGAAGGCGCCAGAGTTCCCCACAGACCCGAGGAGTTTCTTCGTATTCGAGCTGGCGTGAACACGGGACCGTGCGTGGCTGGTGTCGTAGGCACAACTATGCCACGATACTGCTTATTCGGCGATGCTATTAATACAGCTAGCCGTATGGAAAGTACCGGAGAAGGTATCTAACAACGATTAAGAAATTCAAAATCATTTATTCATATAGGTAACACTTCTAATTTTACATTTATTGCCAGTTTTTTAATCGCCAAGTTTTTTTGTTTTACACAACGTTTGTAAGGAGCTGCAACCATGACACCATGTTCCACATAACATGTTAAGTAATTAATCATAATAAAATAAATTAAAAACAAAGATTTGTCCTCTATTAGCAGGAGGCATGATGAAATAGGAGCACGAACTTACATTCTCTCGGTAACAACACGCAAAGAGAAACTTCAATTAAAATATTTTTTGTCAGAGAATTTACGACGATTCATTTAATACATGAAATGACAATCAAACAGAGACAAGTAGAATATTTAAAAGTAGATTACGAAACTGTTTTTATTCCTAAGTTATAAAACACTGAATTACGTAGACTAGACGTTAGACTTCAAGGTGTTATTTATTATGATAAAAGCTCATTTGGTTAATTGTAAAAAAAAAAATACTTTTTATTCTCAATTTAGGTTATTATACTAATATTTTAGGATTATAATAGTTAATAAATTAAGAACAAAGTTTCTACAAACAATACGTCTGCCACATAAGCTAGAAATCGTCGCTCGAAAATATTTATCTGCGATGTAGACTGAGGATAAAATGAAATATACATGAAAACATATTTACTATTAATATGACTATTATATCGTTAAAACCTAAACGTAACAATCAAATATACAGTATTTACAATTTTCTCCACCTTCATAATAAAATAAAAATAAAATAAAATATGTTTATTATGGAACATAAGATACGTCTTATTCGACGTCATTAAATTTGAATTTGTAGGCATCCCTACTCATCGGCAAAGAAGATAGTACCATAGAGACAAAGCCGGCGAAAACTCTCGGTACTCATTTAGTAATAATAAACATTGATAAAAAGAAAATTTTAACTAATTTAAAAAGTTTGGTCCCTCTGGCAGTATACCTTTAACATTGGCAGCATTTCCTTGTTATATTGCGATACTTATTCGTTGAGCGAGGAAAGCACCAGCTCTGGGGTCACCGGTACTATCTACCAGGTCCCAACTTAAACTTTTAATTAGCGCCTATGCACTTGAACCCCACGTCCCAAGAGTCTATGTGTATGTAAGTTTTTGCCAATGACTTTATGGCTACAAAAGATAACAATAAGTGGAACAATGATGTCTTTAGTTATTATCATACATGGTTATACAGCCCCTAGTGGGCCTTAGCCTCCACAAGTATATTTCGCTATTGCATTCTATTTAGTGCTTCTTGCGTCCAACTTCGAACCCCTATTGTTTTGAGGACCTTGACTCTATCCTACCAACGCAGCTTCGGTCTACCGGATTTTCTCTTGCCATCAGGTTGTGAGTTCGAAAGGACCTTGGGGTTTTGTCGTCCGCCAATCGGTGCACATGTCCCAACCACTTAAGTCTGTTGCATTTTATGAATACCGTCTATCGTGGTTATCTAGTTTTTAATTAAAAATATGTGATACATTTCCAGCAATGAAAATTCACATTTCCCCGACAACCAAAGATGCACTTGACGAGATTGGAAATTACGTTGTGCAATCACGAGGGCTGGTTGATGTTCAGGTAAAATAATTCTATATCTCTATATGTATAAAATTCTCGTGTCACAGTGTTCGTTCCCATACTCTTCCAAAACGGCTCAACCGATTCTTATGAATTTTTTATGCATATTCTTAGAAGATGCAGTAAGTCTTAGAATCGGCTACTATTTATCTTTCAAATCCTTAAGTGATAAGGGGTGTCCACCCCTAAATTTTATTTATATTTTGAAACTAATTTTTTGTTTTTATTTTTTTATGATATAGCATGCAAAAATACAAATAAGGGTTGTACCTTAATTTTCATCTATCCTCTACGATCAACCCATATTTTTCATTAATTGTTATTTTAATTTTACTAAACAATGTTTCCTAGATCATATACATGGCAAAACAACGTTTGCCGGGTCAGCTATATAGCTGTATACACATATAATATTAGATATACATATAATAAAACTTTATTCATGACAGAAATGAGAGCTCCGGAAGCCCCTGTGTTGTGGGTAGATTACAATTATTATTCTGTGGTACAGTGTGCTAGTTTAAAACAATTTAAAGGTAAAAAAAGTAGTATTAGTATTAAACATCTGTTGAAGTAGGCATGGGGAGAAATTAGCTGTGCCAAAAATCAGTCTGGAACTGTTTAGGAAAAACACCTTTTGTATAGCAATCATGGTTTACAATAATTTACCAAAAGAATTAAACTACTACACTAGACCAGACGACTAGAGTTTTTAAAAATCGACTTGATGAATTACTTTTGAAAAAATTTATTTTTCAATAAATGATTATTTGCGTGCGACACTGTATTTGATATAAATTTAATAACGTATGATATGATATGTACGATACAAATAATATAAGAATTGACCAATTCATATATTGTGCCATTGTGTGCGCCATTGTGTGTGGCAGAATATACGAACTTACGATTGTACCACCTTACACATTTGTGTACCATATTCTTGCAATAAATTACTATTATTATTAAAACAAAAGTCCTGTAAGACGCGTGGGGTTTTCTTTTTGTTTTGTTTTTGGCAATTGTTGCTTGGAAAAAACATGCGTGTAAATGTGTGGTTTTTCATGATAGCGATATTTACCATAATTGGCTAGGAACACAACCATAATAACAAATAAGGTACTATCTACTTATTATCCTTGTTTTAACATACATTCCTTGTCAATTGAATTATTTATTTAATTTAAAATCAAGGGTTTTGATATAGTTTCTTCCCTGCCTAACATGTGCCTGCATGTTTTGTATACATTTAGTTAAGCATCCAAGAATAAGGAAAAAGTAATATAATTATTTCTCAAGGTCGTTATATCTTCACATTTCGAACCGGTTCAACAGTTTAAGCGAAAACGATAACAAAAACACATCACACATACATTCCTGACAATTACGTAGACTACTAACAAGTGAAAAAAATAGTCAAAGTTTTACATTTAATACTACTAGTGTCTTTCAATAATAATTTGAGGGTTACTTACAGATTTAAGATCACCTATTCATAAGCTAAAACAGATTTTGAATCTTAATGGTTAAATTTTGTATCACAGTTGCTTTAAAGAAATGTATGGAAAACTCTTTTTTTAACCCTAATTAATTTGTAACTTTACTAGCTGACCCGGCAAACGTCATTTGCCATGTATATTATTTCTAGGACACATTTTTTTAGTTCAATAACTAAACTATCTACTATAGTAAAAAATTGGGGTTGATGGTAGAGGGGTGACAATTAAGGGTCGTATGTTTTTTTGAATACTGTATCATAAAAAATAAAAACAAATAGTTTTGGCTAAAAAATAAAAATTTAGGGATGGCACCACCCTTAACATTTAGGGGCATGAATAGATGTTGTCCGATTCTCAGACTTACTGAATATGCATAAAAAATTCATAAGAATCGGTCGAGCAGTTTCGGAGGAGTATGGGTACGAACATTGTGACACGAGAATTTTATATATTAGATAGTGAAAACACTTCAAATTAACTAGAGGTTAAATAGTGTTGTTTTAAAACGGTTTTTTTTATGTTTTCAGGGCAAGGGCGTAATGGAGACGTTTTGGCTCTTAGGAAAAAAAGATGAGAAGATAGAAAGCCCCAAGTGTGTTCGATTACAGGATTACGACCAAAATGTTCTAGAACTTTTAATAAGGTCTTAAAGACTAGTTAAGTGACCCTAGATTTTCTTTTCTATGTGCTCAATAAACACTTCCTCTCAATCTAGAGGAAAAGATCGCGAGGATACCGACATGTCTCAGACCCAAAAATTGACACGTGTCAGGCACAGAAGGCAAGAACTTTGGCCAAGGCCCATACAGGGTTATAGCGCCACTGATGTATTATTATTAATAAGGTCTTAAAAAGGTCTGGCACAAAAGACACTGAAGTTTAATAAAACCGAGTAATTTGGAATTTTAGTTTCATCATTATTGTTTTCTAGTCAAAGCTGTATCAAGTTATGTCAATTTTTTTTACAATAAAGTTCACAAAAGAGATTGCGACTTTACATGAATTAAAATCTAGCCCATACAATCATTCATATTATGTTGACTTAAATTTCTACAATACTAGTGAATAGCTTAATATTAGCTTTCTGTAATGTTTTGACACTATGTTTGTATGTACAAGATACTGCACTCGCACTTATACGTTTTTTTATTTATTTATAAAAACACTCCTGCCCTAGCAGGCGACTCTAAATTGACAATTGACAGTGCACAATAAGTGAAATTTACAGACGAAACAAAAAAAAAGGGCGCGTGTACTTATCTACGCGCGTAAGAAGTTATACTTCTTTGGCATTATTATAAATAGTTTTTGATTGCATGCAAATAATTAATTACAATTAAATAATCAAAGACTGGAAAATGAGTCATTATAGTCAATAAAGTTCAGTTTACATTTGAAAAATTAAATAAATAAATACATTCTCTCTTACATTAAGTGTAACATAAATTCTATTATTATTCGAATGTTGTTTTTAAATTATGTCCAATGCCGTAGCATCTTCCGTGTGCAACTTCATTCTGTTAATTTTGTGTCACGGTGCGCGCGCTTCGTAAAATTTCACTCTCATCAATTTTTCATAACGCGCCTAAAGAAGTATAACTTCCAAAATACAAGAAATTGTAACTACTATAGGCACTAATATATTACTTATATCCACTTCACTAGGTATGTAACTCGGAAGGTTTAGTTCTCTTTTCTTCCTATTGTATCAAGAAGTTAGATTGCCTCAATATTCATATACTTCACATTTCAGATAATTAGAGGAGAGAGGTTTCTAGGCCCTTGGTTGACCGAGGTAACGTTGGAGTTGTTAAGTACTTGGAATATGTAGCGGTCCAAAACTGGACACAAGCCCATGCTAGATATGAAAAATACTAGCGAAAGCTATGGCCTATAATTGATGACAATGCCAGATAATTGTCGCTAAATTAGAATGATTAATTAATTAAATTTATTTTTCTTTAAATAATTATACAGACTTGACTTGGTGTTATAATTAGTACATTGTAAACACAATTTAAATTAAGTAGTGGATGTTTTAAGAGGCTGTATTTGGTGTCTTTTGAGCGAGGGCCAGTATTTTAAATTGTCTGAAAGTATCTCAATTCTACTCTTGTTCACAATAAATCCAATTGAACGTTTCATTTGTTTTATTGATCAGAATTAAAACTTGATATATTAAAACTCTTATAATATAAATATATTTTTTTATCCATTTTCATTTGACCCGAGTCCTGAGCGACGGATTGACACGGCGTTTTTGATACTTTTGAGTGGGGCAAAGACTTTGCTGAGGTGTCATGGGTTTTTAAGAAAGATTCATCTTCGATTTCATCACAGGACGTCGAAGTGGCATACCGGGACTCTGCTAACCACTACTGTAGAAAGAGGATTGCAATTCGCGACCTTTACGAGATTTTTGTCAAGTATCCGTCACGTGTCAAACGTTAATCTCATTTTGATAGCTAGGACGTGTGGACAATTTGTAAAATCCACTACAAAAATTCTATTGTAACGATTATTTTAATTTTCATAAAAAGATCCGTCTAATCTACTATTAAGTTAATTATTTGAATATATAATATATTCTAAATATATATATTGCTATATACAGATTGGTCCAACTAGTGACGTCAATAACTTTTTTTTTTGGATTCCTCACATTCCGCGATTTTTTGTAGTTTTCGAGTTATATTTTTGTGTTTTTTGAATGTTTTCTATCAGCGAGGTTTCAAAAATTCATATCTTTTTTTGTTATAGGTATTTCGCAGTTTTTTTTGTGTGAAATGATTGTCTTAAATGTTGTTCAAATAAATATGTTGGGTAATGTTACAGAAGTATATCACTTTCTTTAAGAAGTATATATTCTTTTCTTTTCTTCGCAAGCCTCCTAATGTGGCAGATGAACAAGTTCGAAAGCCCCTGGGTCATAGAAAAGTATATCACCTTAAAGGAAACCAATGTTACAGTTCAGCCTCCTAGTGTGACAGTGAACGTAAAGATCACAAGAAATTGTCACAATCATATTACCACAATGTGCGACATGCAGTCGTATTGATAAGATTCATTAGAGTGGGATTTCCACTTCATATGTTGAGCGAGATCACGTATGTAATGTGTAATTACTTAATTGAATAAAGACTTGAATGTTATTATACTATTAAATAATTATATATAATTTATCGCTCATAATGGGTACATAACTTAATGTTGAATGGTAATTATTTAGGTAAAACTGTACGCTCTTCTTAAAATGATCGAATTATGAATGTGGAACCCATAATGGGTTGTACAAAAATCAAGTAATTGTAACTTATACGAATAGTAGCAAGCAGTATTGCGTGTATCAACCCTTAGGTTGTGTGTTCAAACCCCGGCTGAAACCGGTAACCTGTGCATCAAGGTATTTTTTTTCTACATTACTAATTCTACTTATTATATTAGTAATTAAATACTACGCTCTAGTGCGCACTCATATTGAATGTGGTAGCATTGAAAGTATTCAAAGATCATTTACTCGACACCTTGCATTTATTAGTACAGGATTTTCTCATAGGCACTCGTACCATTAGTGATAAAAGTTAGTAAAAAATAATAAAAGTTTCACATTTTATTCATTTATTGTATTTTAATTATTAATTATAACAATAGCACGAAACAATGCCTAACAATTTTCAACATAGCGAGGCTTAGTAATATTTAAGCTTTTAGCTTTAGCAGCTTATTAACGTATCACATAGATTCTAACGAGAATTTTTATTTTAGTGGTTTTACCAGACATCTAAACAATCAAGATAATCTCCTCCACTTAAGTCTAAGGCCCATATTTGACATTGAAATTGTTCTTGAATGTCAATTTAAACCAGTAAATAATAAGAATATACTATACAATCACAGTTTTTGTACGCTGGTATTACAAACATTAATTTTATTTTTTAATTATACCTGTTTACATATTAGCTATTTTGGCTATTTTTATCAATAACAATGTACTAAAGCAAATCTTCAAGATATGAAATGTCGTAATAATAAACAATAAATATTCAATAAATTAAATTAGTTCTAGATGAAGCGTAATAATTTGACTAGAAACAGATTGATGAGAGGTTCCACATTATCTGTAAATAATATTAATAATAAATTAATTAATATAAAATTCAATAATTAAATAAATTTTTCTAAAAAACATTCTTTTGAACGACTAGTTTGTTTAGACCTGTAACGTGTGTTGCATGGAAAAAAATTGTACATCTTTCAAACAACCCGAAACAATATTGTAAATAAAATATAATTTTAATTGACTCGTAATTTGATGTACTCAATTTGTTACATCTCTTTCACACTTTATTATATAATCTTTGATAAGCAAAATCGCCGGGAAATAAACCAAAAAATACTTACTTAAAGTTTTCTGCAACTAATCCCTAATCTCCTATAACCTCTAGCACATCTTCCTAGAAGAATACCCGATCTCTTCTTTCTTAACAGCTTCTTTGTACCAGATTTCTCAAAAATCATTTTTAAATCTCTATACTTTCTCATCTTCTCCAATAAAGCCGATTTCAAAAACCCATAATCAAATTTATGTAAAGGTTCCGATTTCATTTCATGGAGACTTAAGTCTACACTATCTATCTTTCTATGGATCACTTTCACACTACTCGATTCAATCGAACCGATGTGCCGCGATTGAACGATCGCAAAGCAGGTGAATAACAGAACACACGTCTTCATCGTTAGCTAAGACCTCGTTTGGAGTAACTTCTATGCGGCTTGAATATTTAAGTCATTTATGAGTCAGTATTTGTCGTAATACTGACGTAACGAAAACCCGTAACTCAAACGCACCGTTATTTTACCTTATATGAAAAATATCATACGTATGGGAAAATATTACAGTTGGACTTTGATCTTTTGGATACGTAGATTTTTCAGTAAGTGTAAAATTATTGTTCATAAACGAAAGCCAATTCTCTTTATCTTTGTCTCCAGTACCAGCGCCCTAACACTGTAACTGTCTATAGCAATAGCGATTTACCGACTTGAATATTGAGATTTTGGTCTCAATTTAGATATTTTATATGATCTTACTTTCAAAATCTTTAGCGCTTATGTCGAAAACTTGCGGTCACGTGATACAAAAATAATAAAGTAGGGATCGGTGTCGCTTGTCAACTACGGACGACTCATTAATCTAGTGGTTAGTACCCCTGACTGCGAATCCATGGGTCCCGGGTTCGATCCCCGGCTGAGACGAACATCGATGTGATGAGCATTTGGTGTTGTGCTTAGGTCTTGGGTGTTTAAAATTGTATTTATATGTCTATCTATCTATAATATGTATGTATATCCGTTGCCTAGTACCCATAACACAAGCTTCACCAGCTTAGCATGGGACTAGGTCAATTGGTGTGAATTGTTAAAAAAAAAAAGAAAAAGTATATGTTGATAATATCTGATAGTAATGTGGCATAATTAGACCCGAGCTTTTTATTGTGAAGTCGGACTATCAAAAGACACAGAACCGTCGAAGCAATATTTAAATTTAACAAAACCGATTTATATTGAACAGAAATACTACCTACTAGTGTGTAAATAAATAAAATATTGTCTCTAATCTCTTGAAATCCGATCCGATTTTCATAGGTAC